TGTGTTAAAAAAGGGATTTTTGTTGAGTTTAAAAGAGCCAATATCAGCTAATAAAATTAAATGGCTGGCCAATTTAATTGGTTGTTTCCTATTTGTAAGTCAAGGTGCCATTATATCTCCAAATGTACTTATTTTAGCTGAAAGATGAAGAAAAATACTTTTGTTGTATTATTGCCAAAAAGAAAAGATGCACTGGCCCCAACATGCTCACAGTTCAGCCTTCACAACTCTCCTGCTATTCACGGAAACCGTTTGGGACTCTAGCCCGGCTAATTTGCATCTTTTTAATCACCGACGCTAGTTTTGTTAGCCTGTCGTTGACGTCTTGCGTTGTGCGTTAGCATGAAGCTATCAAGACGATTGTAAGAAATGGAATGAGCTTTGGTGAAATAAAAGCGTCGTTCTTTGTTTACTTTCACATTAAACTTCAACTGGGAATGGCAAGAATGATGATGGCTTGTATCTACAAAAAATAAATACACGGAAATGGGGCCACTTCTAAAATGAGGTACTACCTGTACTGTACCTCTTTGAATGATATTAAATGGCAGCCATTTTCAGACCTTTCTTTCTCCTCCCACGTGACCCCCCCCCCCCGCCAAAAACAAAAATAGATCCATGAGAATGAGTTTCAATAAAAAGGGTCTGATAAAAACCATCCAGAATTGTGTTTGTCTTTGATTGTTCCACTGTTATTCCTATCTTAAGATTATAGTAAGATACTTCATGGAGCCCCATGAGTTTTCAAAAGACTGCACGTTAGTGCACCGAATGTGCAGAACGGAACACTCCTATGATAATTAAGTTACTTTGTTCATTTTCTATGATGACGTGCTTTGTGTGCAGTCATGAGACTTTCAAATGCCTGACATCACGCCCGGCAAGCTTAGCCCGCAGTCGCGTCGCATTCGCATGAGCGACTTCTCTCTTCCTACATTTTATTTACAAAGATACTCCAAGAACGCATACTTTTCGCTGATTAGCCGAGCGTGCCGATGAGAAATGCGGACTATGAAACCGCCCTGCAGCGAGTGCGTTCGCGTGTGTAAAATATCAGGTGTCTCCGAGCCACGGCAGGTATGTCATCAGGCTTGATTCCTGTCGTGCGTCGCACTCAAGCTTCGCTTTTTTTTCTTCTTCTTTGCCTGCAATGTTTGTTGATGACAGGGCAGAAAGTTTGTTGTAACCCCGCCACTACCATACCTGTTACAATAAGACAGGGTGTGGAATAGACAATAGAGCCAGCACCACCCAGCCAGCCAGTCTGTCACTCTGTGGCAATGAAATAACTCGGGGTTGGTTTGTGAAGGACAAGTCTGCCGTGTTTGTTTGCTTTTTTTAAAAAATGTTCTTCTTAAAAATAAATAAATAAATAAATCAATCAATCAATCAATCAATCCTCTTGTGAGAACACTATGCTCGACTCATTGGCCACAGCAGTAGATACAAGTTAATGACTGCTTGGACACTGAGCATGGGGATTGATGACTGGGAATGGAGTGTAGTGCTTGCAAGTAATCGAGTCTGGATTCTGGTCGAATGCATTTTCTCAGAGTTCCCTACGCAGCCAACCTTCACTTTTTTTTTTGAACTCCCTTTTATTTCCATGGAAGGTTTCCAACAAAAAAATGTAGCAACGCTAATGGTCGGGTGTACCTTTTCTGAAACTGTCTCGATTGCATTAGCTGTTTCTAAACTGGCAATTTATCCTGTCCCGACGTAGGTTTCCCTTTGGGAACAACTAAGCACACTGAAGTGACGCTGCGTTTTATCAACAGTACTACATATGCTCAATACTGGTCAATTTTGCATCCAAAGTCCTCAACAATGTGGAAATAATCCGATGGAATGTGCCCACTACTATAAACTTGTCATCATAAACCCACTATGTGCAACCTCTTGTGAGACTGGCAAGCGTGGGAGATGTGGACTCATTGGTCCACAATTCCGTCTTGTTTGTCCTGTTCCTACACACACACACACACACACACACACACACACACACACACACACACGGACACACACACAAACAATTGCAGTCACAGGGACACATGGATGGACACAGACACACACACACACACACACACACACACACACACACACACACACACACACACACACACACACACACACAGAGGCAAACAGCTTCCCTCCATAGCAACATTCTGAACGCTGCAGCCCAACAAACAACAACCCCAACTGAGGCCATCCACTATTTGAGGGTGTCACATTTTTTTCTTTTACAGATAGATATATATATAGATGCTGGTGCGGTGAGCACATCTGCTCCACAGTTCCGAGGTTCTGGGTTTGAATCTCGTTTTGAGAAGCAAGGGTGGAAAAATGTAAAACAAAAAAACAAGAAGTTAGGTCAGGAGGGAAGAAAGGAATCAAGGAAAGGAGTAAGTGTGAGTAGGTGTTGTGGGGTGGAAGGACCCAGTCAAAACATTCAATTGTCTTAGTACATTTTTTAGAAGCCGTTTTGAGAGCTATTGAAATCAGGTGACATCTTTTTGGCTGACATCACAGACGCGAATCTGGATGAAAGAAGTATTTAATATTTGGGGTCCTCGGTAGGTACAGATGGAGTGAAAGAGTGAAGGGAATGAAATTAATTTTTAATTGGTATGGGATTGGAGCCGGACACACCTTCCTCTTTAAAGGTGCATGATGAGGCATTTTATCAGCAAGGCAAGGGTTGTAATGAAGCTATTATTATAATGACATGCAGGCAGCCAGTCAGCACACCTCGGTGGTGTTAGCGGGGGACCCTGAAAACGTCCCCCGACTCAAAACCACACCTCGGTGATCGATTGCGGCCCTTTTCCCGACTGACATGTGGAAGGCAAAAATGACACATAGCAGTGAAATAATACCTGACTTTTTTCTCTCTCTCTCGTTACAAAACGTTAATAGCACACCAATTGGCTCCCGGTCACAACGGCTGCAATGCGTAATGAAACGGTCAGTCAGCCGGTGGCTTTCGCTTTGTTAAAAAAAAAAAATCGAGGCACGTCTTTGTTTTAACAAAGGTAAAAAGCCCCATGAACGCCTCACCACCAACGTTCATTCTTACGCCACCTCAACTAGCGTTAGCCGGCTACAAGGCGCAAATATGAGGCGATCAAGACGCTCACACCGGCTCCCCTTTTTAACTTGAATTACACACCAGTTCAAAGCTCTTACCTTCAGCTTGTGCTCCAAACGGTTAAAGGTCAACGGAGGACCGTCCTCAGTCAGGATGTTTCTTGGCTATTTTGCTCTCGGATAGGTGTGGAGCCTACCGCAGAGGCGTCTTTTATCATCGCACCGTTCAAGCCCAGTGGAGCCGCACATTCAACACACACACACAGACACACACGGTCCTGCTTGAGAATAAAGTAGACAGAGAGGGAGAGGGAGGGAGGGGGAGGGATAGAGGGAGGGAGGGAGGGAAAGGGGGAGGGAGAGAGAGAGAGAGAGAAACAGATAGAAACAGAGCGAGAGAGAGAGAGAGGGTAAGGGCAGAGCGTAAGGCTTCAGCCCCAGAGCCACGCTTCCTGTCCGAACGCCAATGATAAGCGAAAGTTCGGGCCCAGTCCAGGGACACGCCAATGGGAAGCTACAAAGGGCGCCGTGAGGCTACCCTGACGACTCGGTGACATCCGTCCGCCCCTTGACTGGCACGACACGGAAGCGGTGACGAATGGCGTCAAAGCAATGACGCCGCTGACCAATGATGACACGGGAAGGGCGGGGCTAAAGCGCGACTCGACGAGCGAGACAGCCAACAGGAGCGCCGCAGCAGGTGCCTGTGCGTCAGCCTCGCGCAACAGTACGGAGATTTGCGCGCCCTTTGTTTTTAACGACGCGGCTGCGAAGACCCTCACACCGATCTGGGGTCTGTTCGGGTTGCACGCTATCACACGTTCGTGATTCACACCGACCCACCCTGAGCTCACTGAACGGTCCTGACGAGTATTAATCAGATGCCTTTTGCCTGGTACTCATTGGTGGAGAGTAACGAATCTGTGCTTTACTTGCTTTTCGTGTTATGACGATTTTTAAAAACTTTTTGTCCACTTGAATGCATGGCTGCTTTATGGACGAAAGTATTGTCATAATCTTTGTTGTATACAAAAGTTGAGATCAAAAGATTGGTGACATGGCAGCCACTTGTAAAGGGACAGCCTGAGAACTAGACCTCCGTCAGTGGGTTTGTGGAAGGCATTTTCTCACAGGTAGGTATGAAATGTTTGCTTGGGGTGCCTTTAAGTATTTGAGTAAAACATAATGGCGAGCGAGCCGAACTATCCATTTCACCGTCAAAAGAGCACAACTGCTATTCATCCGAGCAACAGATAAGTCGGTTCAATGCTTTTAAGTTTCCATCGTGTCCATTTTAGAATCAGCTTACCTGCTGTCATGTTTGTCTTTTTTTTGTATCAGTACTTCCACTTAATGTACAGACTTTTTCCGGTTCAACTGTACAAATCTTACAGATAGAGTACAGATGAATTACTCAACAATAAAACTATAGATGAGTCTGTCTCAATTATGTGAGTTGAATATCTCAACATCAGCGGTTCAACTTTGACTTATTTGTTCTCTCACAGTTTGATTTGGAAGCCGCATTTGCCAAAAGCAGCTCTAAACGTAAAATGGAAATTAATTTTTATTGCAATACAAATTCACAAATGTGCGCGTTTTAGGAATATAATACAGCCAAAATCAGTAGTGAGCAAAGTATGGCCCTCCCCATTCTTGTCCTATAACATAAAAAAAAAAAAAAAACCCTCACAAAACAGTTTAGTGTATAAAGTGTTTTCCTCCCGATAATGGAGGGCGCCTTGCTGTTTCACGGATTATTTTTCCAACGCGTAATGTTTTTTGTTTTTTTAGAGTAAAATACAGTACAGTACTGTAAATGGAAAAACAGTACAATCATGAAAAATATACAAAATGAAAAAGCATTAATAATAAAGAAAAACATACCACCAATAAAATATAATAAATGAAATTCAAAAAATAAATCAACCTGGACTTTTTGGGAACGTAAACCCTGGAATAAACCCGGGAATGCTGTAACTATATTTATTTAGTTATTTATTTTTACCTCCACAAATGACTTGGCCCATCTGTCCATGTAAATATTTAATGAGACCCTGCAGCAAAAGTTGCAAACGCCTGGTCTAAACACATATCATAGGAGGCGAGACATCATTCAAAAAGAACATGTCACAATTTTTATGCAACGTTGAAAACAGAGTGCTAAAGTGATGCTGCTCTAAAGTTGAAGTTATATTTCACAGAAGTGAAGGCGGGCCCCATGACCCACCGTGCGGCCTATTAATAGAACTTGAGGGTGGATGTTTATGGCAAGACACAACAATTGACAACATTCAAACACATAGGTTACAAAAACTCCCCAACTGCAGTAACAGTTGAACAGAAGCAAAAGCGTCATCACTGATATTAATCTTCCATGTTTTCCTCAGGTGAAAAGGATCGCAATGGAGGTTGTTCGTTCAATGGGAGAAACAATTTCAAGTGACAACCATAACAATCGAATGAATAGCTTTATTCAGTGGCCGCCGCTAATTTGTGGATCACCTATTTGCGGATTTAAACCCTCGCCCCATATATGACAATATAACAATACTCACAGGCATATATTCTTTATCCTCTGCGAAAAATAAGGAATATTACAGCATCTTGCTGAGATTTTGTAACTGGCTCCTTCATGTATAGACATATACTTGTATTATGCTGCTCTCTGGTGGCCAAAGTTAATTAATCATGATACACAAACTGTTCAATTCTCTGCATTCAACCATGTTATATTACTTTGTATTTATGATATACAACTATACAGTGCCCTTTTCTTTATTAAAAAAAAACACATTACAAAAACGACTCTTGGGCTTTTTAGTGCGATAATAAGAGATACTAAACACTGCTTTGGCGCCACCATGTGGCAACTTAGTGCCAAACAACTAGGTTGAAGTAAGGAGGAGGAGCTTCATTTAGCCAAAACAGTGGTTTGCCGCCATCTTGTCACGTGTCCAGACAAAAACCTTATTGGGGAGCATCAGTTATTCAGGCATTTTCGCTCTTTGCGGCACAGCGCACATTCACTTCATTTGGTGCTCTACCGAACACAATAAACACGGGCTGTCGAAAATAAAGCCCCAAATTACTGCTGCAACACAAGGGACAGCTTCAGATGTCGCTCAAAGGCACCACCCCAATACAAATGGTCAAAGCATGTGAACCACTTGCAACATATCCAAAGGGAAAATGGAATAGAGATAAACACGGATGCATTTGTTTGCAACCGGTATTTGGTTTAACTAACTAACCCAAGCAAGGCATATCATCAGCACAAGTCCACCTCTTTATCACTTCTTCAGAGAAGGAAAATAATAAAAATAATTTAAACATACAAAGACACTTTTAGGGTTAATATTCCTGGAACAAGGAGATACAGTGAACCCCCATGATAGATAGATAGATAGATAGATAGATAGATAGATAGATAGATAGATAGATAGATAGATAGATAGATAGGATCTCTCTTTCGCCAATCATGGGTTGGTCAGGAACATGTTACCCAATAAACGGGGGTTCCGTGTATCATGAACGAATGACAAAGTAAAAGTCACAATCATGTCATGCTACTGCATAGTGTAAAAAAAAGAGCAAAAAAAAAACCCTAACACTAAACAGCAGACAGTAATTACATGGAAAAGCTCCAAACCGCTGCTAGTTTGTCACTGTTTCTCCATGTAATTGATCTCTCTCACCACAGGCAACCGTCGAAAAATATACAGTGAACCCTGGCTATAACACCGTTCATCTTTTTTCGCTGTGAGTGCAGATTTTTTTTTGAAAACAGTGTGTCTGCGTCCTGATTGGGTGGGGGACTGTAGACCAATGTCAAATCTCCGCGCTTCGTCAATGTACAGCTTACCAAATTTAGGTTTGCAACAAAAACAGGTTTGCATCTTTGGTTTCATTTTATAGTACGGTGTTGTGTTTTTTAATCATTGTAAAAATGAAGCTGACCGTAACTGTCGTGATTCACGGTTATATTAAAATAACGTACGATCGCGCTTTCCTTTTTCCCGGCATGTGATTTGCTGATGAGTCCACATTTATTTAGGTTATTGTGCCCTCTGCTGTTACATTTGAGGATTGCATTGAGTGGCAGGAAGTGGTTCACGCTGATTAGGACGGAGTTACGTCTTTTTGAGAAAAGAGACGAAAGCGTGAGGTGCATACGGAGAGCTTCGATTTCTTTTCATGACTCCTACATTTCTGTTTAGAAGGCGAAACGGTACGTGGCCATGATTGTGTGTTTTTTGTTGTTGAGATGCTGAAGGTATGTTGTACATTGTGTTATTGTCTATTTTTGTCAGTGTTCATCGGCGATGGACGCGTGGGTGGACAATAAAGGCTGTTGAACATTGGTCGACTCGTCAAGTCTTTATAAAGTAAAAAGAAAACCTTCATGAGCAGTTCTACCGACTACTTTCGCCTCTCGCGGGTTCTTTCAGGAATGTACCCCCCCCCCCCGCGATAAACGAGGGTTCACTGTATTGTCCATACTTACCATGTGAAAAGCACAACTTTAAATCAGCATAATACTGAGATACATTCCTGAGGTGTACCTGAGAGGATACACCACCATTCACTGCATCAGAATTCCACTGAAATCCTTGCAAGGTCCATGGGAAATGCAGTTGCAAGTGACAACCACCACGGGGAGCTGTTGTTTGTCCCATCCATGATGGCTGTGCTGCAGTAGTGATGGGCCAGGTTGGGACTGAGCAGATTCAAATTTTCAACGATTTTGAAAGATTGCCAGGACCAATCGGCCAACATGGTGACAGCGTAGAGTCCATCCAACGCGACCTCTCCATTCTACTCTTTCTCTCAGGTGTAGTGGAGGTGGTCCGACAGCCTCCTATTTGATGGCGCGGGACACTCGGGATCTGGGTCGGCTCCGTCCTCAGGAGGAATTTGTTGCAGAGCCACTTCGTTCTCATAGCAGAATGATGAGCGTGAGCTCTTGATGTATTTGAGCTCCGCAAGCTCTTTAGCGCTACACAAGGGCGTGTTTGGGATTTCGTATGTGCGATGGAAGAATGAGTAGTCCACCTGGAAAAAAGGAAAGAACATGTGGTTTAGATAGGTGGCCCACCCATTTTTAGTCAGGATCTGGCACATTTTTGCTTGGATTCAATGGACAATGTGCTGCTCCTTCAGGGGTGGATTTCTACAGGCATTAATCCCTCCCCTAATCACTAGCCCTTGTACGTAGAGGTGGTATGAACAGGTCTTCGGGTCCTTACCTCGTAGCAGTCCTTCTTCTCAAAGAGCACAGGTTCAAAACGATAGCCCCACTGGATTTCCGAAGCTAGATAAGAGCTGCGGCATTGCGTGGTCATTGCCGTGGCCTCCACCATGCCCTCCAGTATCACCACCACCTCCAGTTCGCGATCACTTTCCAGGGTCTTGCGGTCCATCTCAAAGAATGGTGACTCGTCGTCGATCTCGTGGACGATTGTGACCGGCGAGACCAAGAAGATCCGGTCGGTGCCCGTGTCAAAGCCAACATTGATGTCCAAGTTGTCCAGTGGAAGGAACTCTCCTTCTGCCGTCACCCTTGACTGTTGCCAAGGCAGCAACAGAAAAAATAAACTCAGATTAAAAAAATGGCAACTGGAACCGCTACCAGAGACCCTGTGGAGCGAATTCTAAGATTTGTTTTGGAATATAATTGCTTAAAACAGGGGTGTCAAACTCCGGTCCTGGAGGGCCGCTGTCCTGCATGTTTTCCAAGTCTCCCTGTTGCAACACACCTGATTGAAATGAACAGGTTCAATGTCAGGCTTGCGCAGAGCTTGCTGATGATCTGATCATTTGAATCAGGTGTGTTGCAACAGGGAAACTTGGAAAACATGCAGGACAGCGGCCCTCCAGGACCGGAATTTGACACCCCTGGCTTAAAACTAATTACTGAGTTGGAACACGTTTTGAGGGAGGCGTGGCAAAAACAGAGCCCGGTGGTGATCCCCCCCCCCCCAACATCCGAGCTAACCTGGAGCCATTCCCACGTGACTTTGGCTGAGAGGTGGGCACAGGGACACCATGGAAGCTCCACACAGAGGCAGACGTCCTAACCACTTCCTCACCGTGCCGCCAGCGTTTGAAATCACCTCACTTTGCACTCATCAAATCCAGTGAAGTCTCATCACGGATCCTACCCTTCATATCCACTCACAGAATTTGCAATTGCATTTTTTGAGCCGTTAAAAAAAAAAAACTAATCCCATCTGAACCTTTTCTCTTTGCTACACTATTAAGAGACATCACATACGACCTACCAGATTCCCCCCAACCTCGAGGATAAATGTGACAACGCGCCGACTCGCACCAGACACTCCTCACAGTGAGTTTGAATTCAATGTGGGATAAAGGAGTCGGTTTAAATATCAGTTCAACAAGGCTGATAGAGTCGACACGCAGCAAAAATGCGATGACAAAGGACAATGGAGTGTGCAAGTTAATCCATGGTAAATCTTCCTAACCCCGAGAGGGAGAATAAAACAAGCTCTCATTAACTGCCGGCCACAGAATACAGGCCAGATGGTCTCGCCACTCTGTCCGCCTCTTTTATCTCGATCGGAGTCAATCACAGCTGCGAGGAAGGTGTTGATCCTCCCCTGGACGTTTCCACTGGCATCGCTGAGGACCTGCCCTCATTTTTTTTTTCCTTCTCCATACCGTACATGGTTAACATTTGATTAAGACGAACAGAAGAAAATCCATAAAAATGCCATTCGTGTCGGCCATCCACTTCCCGGCCTACTGTTGCTAAAGAAAACAGCAGCAAGCAATCTCTCAGTCACGCGGAAAAAATGTGTTGTCAACGAGTTCCTTGACCGCCACAAATGTGCATGATCATTGTCTATAGATGCCACATGATGCCAGCAAAGCATTATGTGAAGCTTCTCAAGTCACTGCAACATAGTTCCTCAATGGCAACGAAATAAGACTTTATTGATAGATTTTTTTTTAAAAAATTTCGCCGATCACAATCATGTCTATTTGCTGTTTCTGTGCTCAGGGCAAAGTCTGAACTATGTTTTGTTTTTTTGTCTGTTCAAGATGTCCCTTTTTGGTGTCGGTCTTTGACCTCATCAAAAGTGCAACAAAAAGTATTGGCCAGAAGTTTGTGCTTCGGCGAAGCTATCAATAGCCCATGTTGTCTACCGTAAGAATGTGGCTGTATTCCCTAACTTGTAATATTGTCATTAAATGCCAAAAGTTTAACGGTTCAAAAGCTTTTATTCTGGACTAATGCGAGAGAGCAAGATGCAAAGCGGAAGTGTGCATGTTTGTTTGCCAATGTGTGATGCCACGTCAGTCCATAGGTTTCATGTGAATGTGGTTGGTTTGTGTTGAACAACTTTAACTCCCAAATAAAGTTCCCGATGTAACATACGTTCGTGATGGTGTGCAGTTGTCTCGCTGTTTTAAGTGCACGGCTGTCATCTTGTGGCATCTTACATAACTACAAATGCCTTCTTGGGGGAGGCGTCGATTCTTGGTGTATTTGCGGCAGGGCTCGTTCCCGAGCCCCTGCGACTAGCGGGCGTTCACTGTCCAGTCATGATGAATGTCCTGTCACTTACCTTTAACAGCTGTGCTCGGACATGAGCCTCGACCAGGTGACTCTTGCGCAGGTTTCCCACTCTCCACATCATGCACAGTTTGCCATCCCGGAGGGCCACCACGGCGGTTTCGGAGAAGACCAGAGTTTCGTTGCGCTTCTTGGGCTTGGCGATCTTTGCCATGACTGCCCCGATGATGAAGGCGTCAATAATGCAGCCCATGATGCACTGCAAAACGACCGCCGCCACCGCCAGGGGACACTGCTCGGTCACGCTTCGGAATCCGTAACCGATGGAGGTCTGCGTCTCCAGCGAGAAGAGGAAAGCCGCCATGAAGCTGTTCACTTGGAGGAAGCAGGGCTCCCGCGCCACCGACGCCGCCTCTCTGTCGCTCGCTCCTCCGGCGCCGGCCTCGGTCTCGGCCTCGGTGCCGGCGATGGGGATGAGGCGAACGGAGAGGTCCCCGTGCGCGGAGGCAATGAGCCAGAAGGCAAATCCAAAGAGCAGCCAGGAGAGAAGAAAGGAGAGAGTGAAGATGACCAGCATCCAGCGCCAGCGGATGTCCACGCAGGTGGTGAAGAGGTCACTGAGATAGCGCTGGCCCCTCTCGCTCATGTTGACAAAGGTAACGTTGCAGCGTCCGTCCTTGCCCACAAAGCGCTTTCGGGGCCGGCGCCCCGCACGCCGGCTGTGCCGGCGGCTCGTGGTGCAGGGGGAAGAGCGGGAATCCCGGTCTGAGTTGGGCCGGCCTTCCCCTCTTCCTCCGGCACCACTTCCTCTTCCCCTCCTCGGGTCCGAGCACGTTGCCGCCGTTCTCTCCCCGCCTTCTCCTGCCGCTGACTCTCCCGTGGCACTCTGCCTCCGTGCATCGCGGTCGAGAGGCAGGGCGACGCCATTGACGGCGTGGCTCGGGGAGGGGCCGCTTGGGGTTCCGGATCCGGTCGGGCTCCCGCCCGCCCGAGCCGTGTCCGCTGCACTCTGCGCCAGCCTCATGACCTCCTCCTCCTCCACTGGCCCATCCACCACAGCGCTGAAGCGCCGTTTGACGCGTGCCGCGCCCATGGCGCGCTCTCAAGTCTCACCGTTGTTCAACGCCACGCGGGCAAGTTGTGCGATGGAGGAACGACGGTGTCGGTCTTCAGTGCATATTCAAAACGATGAAATCATCACGATGCATACCGTCCGATGGTATCGGGAGAATTGTCTTCAAAGCCATTGTTCAGTTCCACGTGGTGGGCGTCCCTTTCCGACAACGATCCTTTCCCTGAAAGCTAAAATGGCTTCATCGAGCACATCCACATGGCGTATCCGTGGACGAACACTGTCCATACATTGAAGCAAACGGCCAACATCTATTAGCCAGAACTGATTGGCAAGGGATGGAAGGCTGGATTGACCTCAACGGGCATGAAAAAAACATGCAGGGTTTGCTCAGCTTCAAGGAATACGGGAGAAGGCAGTCTCGGGCGCCGTTTGACAAACGCTACGGCAAACACTGGGAGGAGGCGCAAACTCTGGACACAGACAAATCATGGCCGAGCGATGATCGAAGAACAGCTCTCCATGCACTTGAAAAGAGCAAAACATGCCGTTTCTTACGTGACAGTTGTTCACGGTTTGAAGATCCCTTGGTTTTGCCGTGACAAAAGAAAGGGAAAAAAAAACGGTAATCTCGAATACGTGAAATACCTAACTCATATTCTAAATGAACGAAGAAATCATTTTGGGCTCGTTTCCCTCAAGACTGAGGGCTGTCTTTCGAAGTCAAGAACGATATCACGCAGAGGGCCCAACGAGAGGACGCTTGGTTGCCGTCTCTTCTTCTTCTATCATGTCACAGCTTTTACGACCTCCCATTTTGCCATCGCTACTTTCCTGAAGATTATTGCACCACACAAGAAATCAAGTGAAACGGACGCATCTATCCCTGCTCAGACAGAGCCTCTGCACGGCTCAGCGTCAAAGCCTGATCAGATCCGGTGGGGTGAAAATAACAGCCAGCCAGTCCTTTGCAATCGAGTCTGAAATCAACCAGAGTCGGTTGCAAGAGTCACAAAAAGGCGAACGTCAAGTGGACAGGTCACCTGAAGACGGAGAGAAGACGGTTTTACGGTTTGAGTCTTAGGGAGGCCGAGAAAGTTGGCGGCTTTGAGAAATCGGGTCTTGAGCTCGCACTCCCGCTTTCAACAGGCTCACAAAAGGCAATCTGCATTTCTGGCAAAGAGCAGAAAATTGGGAAAATAAACGAGCATCAATAACATGGGGCGATGCGATAAAAACACATGTCAAACGTACCTGTCAACGTGATTTCTACATTGTGCGAGTATTTCGACTTTGCAACTGAAGCCCGAAGTAGAAGCCACTGATCTCGTTGTGTGTGTACACAAGGTTATCCATGTTGATTCCTGCGTGCTACGACAACACATGAGAAGGAGGGAAAAGATCCTGCCTGAAATGGGAAGTGATGCCTGCTGACTTTCCCTTCTGGCGCATGTTCAGCAAAGCTTGGCTCGGTCGCTTCAGGCAAAAGGTTCTGAAGAGAAAACGGTACGACCGATTTGCGTGCGACCGTCTTTGCTGGGTCGTCGGGAGTTGGTCTCTTTTCTCTCACAAGGCCCGAGGAGGCTCTTGCCCAATGCACGACCGGCAGGCCTAAAAAGACGAAGGACGGAAAGAGAAAGACAGTTAGCCAGGGTGCGTCGTCTTCTTCAAGAGAAAAAAATGTGAGGTCAGGTTTTCATTGACGCACCATCCAACTCGGCTTGCGCACAGCGCCGGTGCCGTCTGCCAATCGAGCCAAAATGACGCTCAGCTTTGACAGAAGCGAGCTGAAGGCAAGAGCTTCAAATATTCCAATCTACGGTATCGTCTGTAATCCCATAACAGGCAATGGCGGCAATAAAACTCACATCCCAAGCATCCAACGGATTTATGACTCACTGGCTGGATGCAACATGCTTGTAAATTGCAGACGACCGGTACGGACAACCACAAATACATTTCCCTTTTACTGCACGGCGTTTTATGCTAAACGGTCATTGGAAAAACAGATGAGCTTACCTTGAATGCAGTCCTTTGGTTTGGGTTTTTTTCTGTCTGGAGCTTACTGTTATTTTTATTTATGTATTTATTTTTTCTTCCAGTCAGTCGAATCACAAGAGCATCCCACAAATGTCTGTTATTGTTGCTGAGCCTGGGAAGAGATTCAAATAACAAAATAATGGTGCTTTCATCATCTGTTCGCACGACCTTTCCACTCGTCACCCTAAGATGAATATCAGCACAGGTCCAACAAAATGATGGGTAACTTCAGTGTATGAAAAAAAAAATAGCCCTTCCACAAGCATAGCCCGAAATTCATGAGGCCTATTTTTGTAAGTCTGCGCCTGGCCGGCAACCGGTTGCGGGTGTGCCCCGCCTACTGGCCGAAGACGGCTGGGAGAGGCTGCGGAGCGCCCACGATGAAGCAGTTCAGATAATGGATGGATGGATATTTGTGACTAAGTCAGTATTTCTCCGCTTGATGAAAGGTCCAAAGCACAAAGTGCTGACCTTGATGGCTGCGCTCCACTTGACCCCAACATTATTGGTCTGATATCTCCCATTGTGCCCCCTGAGTGTCACTGGACGACGGTTACCCAGAGGAGGTGATTAAAGAAGTGTGTGTGTGTGTGTGTGTGTGTGTGTGTGTGTGTGTGTGTGTAGCGCAATCCAATGTCAGCCTCCGCGTGTTGCCTTATCTTATCATGCATGGCAAGGTGATTTGTCAAGTGGCCTGGGTCACGCGCGAAGCCCGTCAGCGAACAAATCTCAGTTGCCACCCCTCAAAGTGACTGATGACGGCTGGCGATGATAAAGCTGCTACAAAAGACGGTGTCGTGCAAACACTTACGAGTCTGAGACATACCGACAGATCTCGCGAGGGAAAAGAAACAGTTCAGGTGTCATCGAACAAAATTCATCGCCGCTTGATGAAAACCTCAGATTTATGACCTAGTTGAAGAAAATGTGTTCTATGTCGTCATTTTGAGACTGATTATCTCCCAAGACAGTAAAGAGGATAACCCATTGCCGATTTGGGATTTTAATAAACCACGCGTTGAATGTGTCGAAAGGACTGGAATGAAATTAATCAGCAGGTCGACAGGGAAGGTCCAAGTTTTCAAATTGCAGCATGTCGAGTGCAAAGCAGAGCTGTCGTACACAACAGAACTACAGTACTACAATTGGTGACAGAAGGTAATGTTGACATTGTTAGCGAATCGAATCAAGCCTACCGCCACAAGTTTGGACGTACGGTAACATCCCCGACAAGTGATTGTGCACAACCCATTGCTTTATTGACAAAGCAGCGACAAAATAAACACATCATCAACATTCATACACAAGTGCCGACTGTCTAACGTTCACGCTAACGTTAGCCAGTTAACAGCTGAGCTCGCAACAGCCAACTCGACTTTCATTGCATGGCACCCACGTCACTCACCTGTCTTTTCAAGCCCGACACACTCAGCCACAGGTAATAACGTTGCGCATGAGGCTGGCGACCCAAAGTGGACAATAATAAAAATATCCCTGCCTCATCATGCACTTTTTGTCGTTTGACACAGTAAAATCAACGATGATAATCGATAGAATAATTGATTGTCAGAATATTTGATAGCTGGAGCCTTACACGGTTTTGGGCAATTGATCGACAATAAAAAGGGAATTTCTGATGAGCCAAGCCTGATGGAAGCTGGCCGGTCAAAATGCAGTGGCTAAAGTAAGAATTTAAACGATTCGGATTACGCCTATTTCCATGTAGCATAATTGTAACTTCTTCCTGCTCCCTTTCAGTCTGGGAGTACAGAAAGCTACAGTTGGTATGGTAATGGTGCTTATTTTGGGAGTTTTCTTTTTGAACTGCGTGCTTGAAATGAAAACGTCAATCCATCGATCATTGCAGCACTTTCAGGACATTGGGCACTTTTTTTTTTGCAGTGTTTATGCTGCATGGGAATCATGCCCCATGAGCCACATCTCTCACTGTAAATGCTCTTCTTTAGCGCCTCCTGTGCCTTCAAATGCTCCAGATGATCAGATAGGAATCAGGTGTTATGCGGACAGATTACAACCGCGGGGGATTGATCTGATTTGAGTGCGAGTGAGGGAATATTCCCGGACGTTTACGCGGACAATGCTTTCCGTTTCCGGCTTTGTATTTTTCACGGCATATTTTGTCCGATGCTTTTCCCTAAGTGTGGACTCATCAATACTGCTCACGCAAAGTTACAACGTCAAAGAGAGCTGAGCCAGCGCAATGCAAATATGCGCGCGTCGATAGTTTGCGATTGATCGGTGGCAGTTAGAAACCAGGGCACAGATGAGCCCTCTCTCTCCTCACATTGCTCTCGTTCGCTACTCAGGCCTGTTTACTTTGGGGAGAATTTTAATCGGCTTTACAAACCACATTTGGATATTACTTCAAAGATGTAAGAGAGGAAATTGCATCTTCAAACAAATACATTCCAACGGTTGAGTGCCCTTTTGGTTTTCAGCCAGCGTGATCAATAAGAGGGCTAGCGCCACGCTGTTCTGTTTTTTTGATGGAGGTTGCATTAGGTCAAACAACATGAGCCCAAAACCCGACACGCACACCCCCTTATTTAGCGGCCGATAACAAGCACACGCGTGCGCTTGTCTTGGCAGCTCGCCTCGTTCCATCTAATTGAAACTCCGCCGCTTCTTTTCCCCTCGTCCGGCCGCATGCAAAAATGGAGGTCACCATGTGGCGGCGACCAAATGTTAATCTGGGTGGGAGCTAAGATGCTGCGGGCTTCTAATTAAGGAAATACGTGCAACTCAACAAGAAATAATCAGCACAGCCTGTTTGCCCTTGATTGTGCGGTAGCGTGGACCATCCAAAGTTGACCGCAATCATGCAATTTGGGGGGCAGGGAGAAGAGGAAAAAAAAAAAAACAAACACTCACTGACATGGACGCAAAGAGACGCTAGTTAAGAAAACTCGCTAGCGGTGCCGAGTTTGCGACCCTTCAGAATCCTTCTCGTGACCATTTTCCCCAAAAAGCAACTAGCAACTTTAAATCCCGTTAAGAAACGGGCGACATGAGCAGAATGGTTTTCACTTTGTTCTCTGAGCAACAAGGAGGAAGCCCAGCGGAAGGCAACCGCTGAGTCAATTACGCTGGAAATGACGAACATTTCCTTCCGCTAATTTATACCTTGCAAAAGTGATGACTGATCAACATTGGACTATTTGGACCCGAGACAAGTGCTTCCAAAACTGTCAAGACTTTGTCGTCGGGCCTCACCTGTGCAGCTCTACATTTAAAATGGAAATGACTACGGGATCTAGTATGCTGCAAGCTAAATTAAAAATGGGCAGTTCTAACAGTGAATTAAGATATTTCTCTGACTGTTCAAAGCAACTTCAAGTTTGGAAAAAAAAAATCTTGTCAATCCAAATAAAAACTCCAGTTTCTTCAGTGTCTTTATTCAAGCTGCTGATTTTAAATGACAATATTCTTTGTTGGCAAGCTCACCCGAAGCATCCAATGAACGTCACTCATGACTCGAAATGGCAAATTCAACACGGCATAAAAGAAAGCAACAAGTGTGTTTGGACAATGAAAATGAACTTCCACTCACCCAATGTCTCCTTGGGCAACTTCATGATGTCATCTTTGCGCAATTGAAAATAAGAGTTTGGAGAAAGGTGTCAATTCATACGAGCTTGCTGGAGCCGCGTACCCGCGTCAACTGTCCTGGTGGCATCGCGGGCGCGCTCCCGAGGCGCGACGTCCCCCCCCGCGGCGGGCGCACGCCGCTGCAGCTGACCTCGTCACACGGTGCTGGTTCATTCAAAGAGTGCATGATCTTAGATGGAGAAGAAGTCAATCGTCATAGACGGTTAGACCATTGTAAATCCATATTTTAATACCATGACTAGTTTTGTTGCATCTGGTGGCAGGAATAGATTTCATACATAACCATACACACTTCATCAATATGTCAGTCAAGAGCATTTCAATTGTAAATTGCAACTGCAAGTGTATTCCGTGTGTGAGAGTGAGAATGAGAGAGAGAGAGCGAGAGAGAGAGAGAGAGAATGTAAAACAGAGTGAGAGAACAACTGCCGTGTGTTTACTTTTCTCCTAATCCGATTTAATCTCAAATCAAGACGTCGCAGTGATGCCAACACGTGTCGCATGTGGAAACGGTTGTCAGACGGCTCCAGGAGCGAAACAGCTGCTGCAACCAGCCCGTGCATCCGGATGTCACGCAGAGCGTTGGAAAAATGGAAAAGCTTCAATGCAACTCATTGTGGCGGATGAGAAAGTGAATCATTGCAGATTATATGCCACCAGATATTACGCAAGGGTGTACGTGTGTGTGTGTGTGTGCGTGATTGACCTGTGGAAAACAGTGGGGGTGTGGTTTCGAGGTTGCAAGCCGGTGACGGAGGAGTCAGGCGTGATGATGATGTCAAATTTACCAGAAGAATCAGGCTGATTACATGCACCCACTCCACACGGGACTTCACTGATATTAAAATCCTGTAAAGTGAATATAAATGTTATATATATGTGAATATAAAAGTTTGATACGCCACAGCAAAGAGTGTTGTTACCAACTCTGTTAAATTTGAGTGATTTTTAAAAAATGGCAAGTACGTAACACCATCCATCTATCCATCCATTTTCTGGGCCACTTTCATTCCAACGATCAGCTCATCAGCAAGCTCTGCAGAGGCCTGATAACGGCCCCGATCGTTTGAATTCAGGGAAAGACAGAAAACGGGCAGGAAAGCGGCCCTGGAGGACCAAAGTTTGAGACCCCTGACTTTGACTCTGTGGACATTGGACTTTCCAAGTTGCAGCCTAATAAGTCTTCCTTGTGGCTTAACGAGCTTCGTTTGTGTGTGTAGCCTAAAACAATGAGAAATGTGGTTCATCTGTGAGAACGAACTTTCCCCCCGCGGCGCGCCGCCCCCCCCCGCGGCGGGCGCACGCCGCTGCAGCTGACCTCGTCACACGGTGCTGGTTCATTCAAAGAGTGCATGATCTTAGATGGAGAAGAAGTCAATCGTCATAGACGGTTAGACCATTGTAAATCCATATTTTAATACCATGACTAGTTTTGTTGCATCTGGTGGCAGGAATAGATTTCATACATAACCATACACACTTCATCAATATGTCAGTCAAGAGCATTTCAATTGTAAATTGCAACTGCAAGTGTATTCCGTGTGTGAGAGTGAGAATGAGAGAGAGAGAGCGAGAGAGAGAGAGAGAGAATGTAAAACAGAGTGAGAGAACAACTGCCGTGTGTTTACTTTTCTCCTAATCCGATTTAATCTCAAATCAAGACGTCGCAGTGATGCCAACACGTGTCGCATGTGGAAACGGTTGTCAGACGGCTCCAGGAGCGAA